AATTAAGGTGATATTTTCTGATGTTACTTAAACAATTTTCAGCCCTAACAGTCTCCTTTCGCCGACTTCTTCCCAACACACTAACGATTTGCATTTTATCTCATACAGGACCTCAAAAGGTGTCATTTAAATACTGGCTTGGAAACTGTTGTTATATGAAAATTCTCTTAAAGGTAAGTGATTGTCCCAGTTTCCTTTAAAGTCTGTAACAACATATCTTCTAAGGTCTGAATGGTCCTTTTTGACTGTCCATCAGTCTGGGGGTGAAAAGAAGTACTAAAAGTGAGTCTTGTCCCCAAAACTAATTGTAGACTGCTCCAAAACATTGAAGTAAATATAGAGTCCCTGTCGGACACAATACTAACAGGTACTCCATGCAGCCTTACTATTTCCTTTACATACAACTGAGCCGGTTTGTCTAGGGAATAGGTAGTGCTTACCGGTAAGAAATATGCAACCTTAGTTAATCAGTCCACGATAACCCAAACACTATCATGTCCAATGCTCGATCTTGACAAACTAGACACAAAGTCCATAGTGATGTGCTCCCACTGCCATTCAGGCACAAGTAAGGGTTGCCCGGCAGGTCTTTGGTGCTCAACCTTTACTTGCTGACAGGTCAAACATTTAGAAACAAATTGTGCCACATTCCTCTTAATGTTATTCCACCAGAAAGTTTCCTTAAATCCTGATACATTTTTGTGCTTTATGGGTGCACAGTATAACAGGAGTGGTGTGCCTCTTCTAAAATGACTCTCTTTATATTTTCATCATTTGGAACGCATACTCATTCTTTAAATCTTAATAGATCGTCACTGCTGACAGAGAAATTATCATTTTTCATAAGTTGGGGGTCTATCTTTTGGGCTACCCTGATCTGTTAAAAGAGCTGAGGTTCTACTCTTATACTCGTAATTATTCCTAATATAGAATTGAACGGTAGTGTCGGGCACCACTCCACCGCATCTTCTCTCAGTTTCATCTCTCAGGTCATCAGATGTGTTACTGCTATCAAGCATTTTCGGCCTAAAGCGTCGGTTACTACATTTGTCTTGCTCCGTTGGTAAGCGATGGTGCAGTCATAATCATTCAGTAGGTTCATCCATCTCCTTTACCTCATATTCAACTCCTTCTAAGAAAATAAATACTTGAAGCTCTATGGTCTGTAAATATCTTAAAATGAGCCTCATAAAGATAGTGTCTCCAAACCTTCAAGGCAAAGATGACGACCTCAAGCTCTAAGTCATGAGTTGGGTAACTTTGCTCATACGACTTTAATTGTCTAGAGGCATAGGCTATAACTTTCATGTGCTGCATTAACACACACCCCAGTCCTTTATGAGAAGCATCAGTGTAGACCACAAAGCCTTCATTTCCTTCGGGCAAGGTTAGTATTGGGGTCGCAGTCAATCTCCTCTTTAATTCTTGAGAACTCTTCCCACAATCATCTAACCATATAAATTTCACTTCTTTCTGGTTTAGGCAAGTCATGGGAAGCGTTATTTTTTATAAGCCTTCTACAAAATGCCTATAGTATCTTGCCAGACCTAGAAAAATATGGACATCCGTCGCATTCGTTGGCTTTCCCCATTTTAGTATGGCTTCAATCTTACAAGGTTAACGACAACCCCGTTCTTCGAAACAATATGGCCAAGAAAGGTCATGCTTGGAAGCCAAAATTCACTTTTTCCCAAATGCCATTCATGCTCTTCTCGATTCCTTGAGTACACCAGGATGTCATCCATAAAGACTACTACAAAGTCATCTAGGAAGGGTTCAAAAACTTTGTTCATCAAATCCACCTATATAGCCGATAATGATACCCTCCAATCTTTCTTCTACAGTCCTTCAACTCCAATAATGGCTACTCCACAGTGAGGGAGTGAACTTTCCCAAACTTGTCTTAGAGAGAGAGAGAGAGAGAGAGAGATGTGGAGGAGTGAAAAGTGAAGGACGTGAGGAAGAGGTAAGGGCTTAAGTATCCCCTCAAGTGGCAGGTGGCACCTCAAGTGGCAGGTGGCAGCCTAAGCTGACGGGTGGCAACCAACTCCCATGCAGCTGGACAAGTGGAGAACACTTAATCCGGTGCCGCAATCGGTGTTACGCACACGGTGATGCCCCTTGTTCACTCGTGACGTTGCATTCTTGCTGCCGTGCTCTATCTATCGTCGTGCGTTCACTATCGCCACGGGCTTATTATCGCCGCGTACTCAAGTCTGGGTCCTTACAGTAAACTAAGGCTTTTGGGTGTCTAACTCTTGGCCTTGCTTGCTTATGGAAATCTGCTGAGTCTGTTAAACGTCATGGAGGAGGAAAGAAGAGTTAAATTGCGAGCAGTGAAAAAGAGTGGTGAGTTTTCAATGATATATCCCATCACCATGAGAAGTGAAACATAAATATGTTGATGGATCAATTCCAAGAGTTTATCCATCCCATGAGTTGCTTGATGTGCTGCATATACATCTTGTTTTGACGGATAGCAAACAATAAATCATGTACCGAGCAGACCTTACCACGACGATGAGGAAACAATAAATCTTGTACCGAGTAGACCTTACCACGACGGTGAGGAGGAAACTCCAATTCCAAAAAAGCATGAGAAAACTAAACATATCCTCTTTTTTTAATGAATATGTCACTTGAAATATTGGTGTCAACCAAATCGAACACATTCATGACTATTTTCCATAAAAGCTAATTTAACCAAATTGAACAACAAAGCGAGCATGAGAAAATAAAATCACATAAATAAAAGCCAATTTAACCAAAGTGAGCAACAAAGAGAGCATGAAAAAATAAAATCACATAAAAATCAGCATTATTAATCACGCATAAATAGAGAGAGGGAGGGAGGGAGAAAGAGAAACGAAGCACACCTTGTTGAGGTTGAGAGGGGCACATAAATCTAATAGCTTGAGAGATATCTATTTATAATACTTTTTTTTTTTTGGTAATTCAATGGGGAAGAGCGACCCCTACCCGTTTTTTAAGTAGATTAAGAGTTAGCTTTTTGAAGGTATTAATGGGGTGATGTTAGCAATGTGGTGACTAGAGTGTGGTGACTAGACTTCTATTTATAAGACTTCTAAACCTAATTAGGATAGAAGTCCTAGCATGAGAGAGATATTCTAGGTGAGGATATAGTAAATATATATTTTCCGTAAAATATGTATGCAATGAGAGAGGTTATCATGCTTGGATGAAGAGTCCTCTCTCTTGCACGTACTCTCTCTCCTTAAATCTCTCGTAATATCATCTCTCTTGTGCATGTTCTCTCAAATAAATCCTACTAAAATATTGTATTAGGAGACTGCTCTTTCTCTACTCTCATCTCTCCTATAATTTATGTGTACTTTCTCTCTTTCCCTTTCTTCCTCTTCCCCAGTCTCTACCCTTAGATTATGGAAACAATATTAGATATGTATGCATATCTTTCTCTCTCTTGATTTGAGTTAGGGGTACCAGTTTTAGGAAGTTTGAAGCTAT